CCGCCGCTACCGGTACCGGCAGCCCCGGCCCGGTGGGCTGGCGTGGGCGGGAGCTGCGGCTGCCCCGGTTTCCCGGGGTGTCGCCCGGTGTCCCCCGGCCCCGCGGCGGGAGGGAGGGAGGGAGAGGTGGCGAGGAGACGGCGATCAGGAAGAAAACTCTGCGCTTCCTCTTCGTGTCAGCGCTCCCGAGCCGGCGGGCGGCGGGGGACGTGTCCTGCCCGGGGCTGTCAGCGGCAGCCGGGGCCACCGGCGCCCGCTCGGTGGCTGAACGGCGTTTGGGATGTTGGCCTCGGGGCAGGCAGCGCCTGGAGGCGGGCGGCGGCGGAGCTCGGTGCCCGCCGTTAGTTGAAGACGGTCGGCTGGGCTGCGGCCAGGAAACTGACTGAAATTTACCCTGTTTGTAAATATCTCTCTGCAGCTTCTCCCTATGTGCCGTGCTGATTCCCTCTTGCCCCCTCCCCACCCCGCTCTGGATGCCCCTAAATTATCTCCCTACACTTCTAGAGGGGACTGATTTGTTTAAAGGTTTAGGCTCATCCAAGTATCATTTCACATGTAATAGGGGTTTCATAAGTAGCAAATGTATTCTTGCCTTTTTTCCCTGGTACAACACGCTACTTTACTTCTTTTTAAATGGTTTGCTTTTAAGAAGTGAGGTGGCCTATCTCAGAAATACAAAATTTGGTGTCAGTTGTCAGCAGCAGTAAGTTATGAAAAGGACCCAATCCTAGCTGCCACGCTGGTACAAGAATCATAGGATGGTTTGGGTTGGAAGGGACCTTAAAGATCACGTAGTTCCAGCCCCACTGCCGTGGGCAGGGGCACCTCCTACTAGACCAGGGTGGTCAAAGCTCCATCCAGCCTGGTGTTGAACACTTCGAGTTCTGCCCTTGAAGTCAGAGGAGCTATTTCTATGAATAGACCCACTTCTTTAGAGGAGCGTTCCTAGGATGTGGCCCTAGAGTTACTGGAAGCTTGCTGGAGTGCATAAACTTCACAGTGGGAAAGTATGATGGGGGGAAATGTTGGTAGCTTAATATGTGTTTGTTTATGAGGCTTTCCAAGTGTATAAGTGATGCAGATTGAACTCTGTGCTGAGAACCACACGGCCGACCTTTAAACTTTAGTCAGGTTTCGGCAGCGTGTAGCGGGTGCAGAGATCATCATGCAGTTTGGGGCCATTAATAGTTGAAGAGTTCATGTTAGTTTGTACCCTTGTAATTAGGAGGCATAACACCAGTCTGATTGCTGTAAAAACATTATTAATTTACTGCTATGTCATAACTAGCTAGTTATGAAAGAGCAATGCTTTGTTATTGCTACAGAACTTTTCTTCCAGCAAGAGACTAGCTACAGTTTTGTGTTTCCAGAAACAATAGTGTGTCTGGATTGGATTTTTTAATAGTAGTATTTGCTTTGAGAGAGTGTGTATATTTGTTTCTTAATTGTATATGGTCTTACGTAATTCCTTAAGTTTAGTTAAGAGATTAGTGACTATCTGCAAGCTCTTCAGTGTTGCATAGAAGTGATTGCATATGGGTATGGGGGAAAATATGCTTGAACGTTTACACTTCTCATTGTATGTACATATAGTTTGTTCATGCAAGTTAGTTGTAGAGCTGCAATTGATCAGGAAGAGCTATGGTTATAATTTGGTATGCAGCTGAACACTTAAGCCAGAACAACAAAAAATCTAAACCAAAAAAACCCCAAACCCACAAGTTGATTATTAATGCTGTAAGTAATGTATAGGTAGTAAGTGGGGATATGTTGTCCTGTGGACTGAAAATATAGAAATAGATACACTATCATGTTTCCTGCATTCTAGAATTTCAGACATTGAAATGTGAAGTATATATGAAATGTGGGGCTTGGCTCTTTGACTTACAAAGATTTTCTTACCCTGCTTGACCCACTGGTCAGGTGATTGAGGTACTACTTTTAAGAATAAATGAGCTGCAGAGCTGGACCCATCATACAAGAACTCCAAGTACACTGACAGATTAAACGTTTGTTGTTTTTTTTTTTTCCCCAGTGCATAGTTGCAACATCACATGACGTTTCTTGCCACATCCAGTGTTACTACCTATGTTTCAGGATTTTAATGTAGAAAGAATTTTATGCGGCATATTAGTTATGTCATTGGGTCAAGCCTTCTGTGTCTTTAGTAATGGATGTGTAGAACATGTCAAATTCTCTATTTTTATTGTCTGATGTGGTTATAGTTCTTCAGTGAAATTCATAGCCTGTCTGTAGTCTGAAGCATTTATATCATGCTTGTACATTTGTAAATCTAAAGCATGCACTTAAATATTTGCAAAGATTGGTCTTACACTTTTGAAAGTGAGTTTTGTGATGAAAATTCTGAAGTGTGACAATGCAAGAATGGACTATGCTGTCAGAATCAAAGAATTCATTAAAGAAAATCTTCAAGTTAAAAAGAAACATAATTTGATTATTTTTTTTCATAGGAAACGTACTGTTTCTAATAGTTAGAAGGTAATGAAACTTTTTTTCTGTCTGGTAGTTCTTCCTTTATGCCCTCATTTGGGTTACTGTTTGTGTGTCTCAAAGATGTGTTGTTTTGGTTTTTTAATGCAATTCATCAGCAGTATGGCACTAAGTGATGTTTCTTGTTGGTTGCTATGTGCTTTCAGAGGACTATGGGAGTATGCTGCTTGCGGAGGCTCTACTGGAAGAATGTTTGAAGGAAAACTTTGCCAAACTGAAGGACTCCATTCCACTGATAGAGAAGAACGAGCCAAAACTGAGTGAAGCTAAACAGTATCTTACCAATATCTTAAACAGAGGAAAACTACGGGTAAGTGGGCTCTGTTGTTGTAATTTCTTCCAACTGGATGCTTCTTTCATATGATTATTAGTCTGTTACAAGGTGTTGGTGTTGCCTGTCCATGTCCCTGTATGTGCTGCGCTGTGTTGTAGGTATTACTAATGGAGTGGTAATGCAGTACAGCTTTGTGCTGTCTTCCATTGGGAGACTTGCTTCTTCATATGCAAATGGATTATGTGCTACAAGTATATGTCCTGTTGATTTTTTTGTTAGAAAGAAGAAGGATAAATAGTTAGGAATTCTCTGGGGTGGTGAGGCATGGCCACATAACTGTGCTGTCAGGCTTGCACAGCTGAGTGAACGACTGCTGCTCCAGCTCTGAGGGAATGTGTGCACCTAGTCAGCTCCACATCAGAGGTAAATTGTGCCACAAGCTGCTGTCAGGCACTTCAGGTTGTGGTGAGAGTCCAGGATTACTGCCTTGCTTTCACTCTCTGCCAGAGAAGTTATGCAAAGTTATGCTTTGGTTTTATTTTGTGGTCTGGGTGGTTGGAGGCTACCTGTCGACTCAGCTGCAGAGCTTTAGGAGTGTTTTAAGACTCTGCCTCAATGGCTGCTGCTGTATTGGTGTCCTTGGACAGTTCCATACCTGGCTTTAAAAAGATGATCAATTACAACAGTCTGTCTTAGGCTTGTATTACTTTTGGTCCTGAAACTTACAGGCTAGTTAGCTTAGAAGTGTATGTTTTACTTTTATCATGCTAATTTCCAGGGAGCACGTGTGCAGTGGCTTTTTTGGGGGGAGTTCCATGTGCCTAACTTCTTAAAAGTCAGTGTATTTAAAAAGTAAAAAGGAGCCGGGAAGGAAGGGAAGTCAATCCAACCCTTTTTCTTTATCACTTAGCCCCAGTAACAGCCAGAACTACTGAATCCTTCCAGGTCTTGGTGCTAAGTTTGGCTGCATGAATTGCCATTACTGTTTGTTAGTGATGACTTGGCTACTCGTACAGCATTGACCTTGTATTGACTACATGTACTTATAAAGAAAAAAACCAAGAGTATGAAGTTTGGGAACCCTTTCATGTTTTTCAAAGCATAAAGACGGTCTAAATGGATGTATTTTACCGAGTTTTTTTATTACATGGTTTTGTATGTATGTTTTCAACCCTTAAGAAACCAAAACAATCTCAGAAATTGCAGGCATGCCTTCTGTTTTTCTAGTGTTGTCTGAAAATTCTTTGATAACTTAAGAAAATCTGGGAGCTTTATCGCTCTTTAATTAAATGTAGAGAGAAGAGGGGAGCACTTGACAAAAAAGCGATGCTTTCTGCCTAGTTTAAAAGCAGGGGATTTTCTTGCTATGTATGTAGGTAGTTCTGGCAATGCCAAGCTTTTATGTGCTGTCTGTGGCTGGTGAATCAATAGAATAGGTCAGCTAAAACCAAAGAGGTGGCTTGTAAGTTGTGTGTTTCCAAAGTAGTTGCCTGACCTTTGTTGCCTGCACCTATCATCAGCAGTGCCCTAAGATCTCTAGATGCCTAAATGCTTCCTGCTCTGGCCTGTGGAGCTACAATTTTGAGAGGAAAGCATTATGAATCTGCTTAATTTTTTCAGAAGTACCTCATTCTTGCTGTCTGGAATTTTACCATTTAAATACTTTTTCCTTTCCCTGCTCCATTTCAGCCTAAGTACATGACAGAAACTATGCTGATCCTTGGAAAGCTTCATTATGTGGAGGGATCCTACAGAGATGCCATCAGCATGTACGCAAGAGCAGGAATTGATGACCTCTCAACAAAAGATGAACCTCTGTACATGCTGCGTTTGGTGACTGAAGCCTTTGTTATTAAAGGTAAAAGACCACATATGCATATTTGAAGTAAGCTGTGTTTAGGTTGCAGTTGAAGGTATTTGTCCAAGTGATTTGACTGGAGCAGAGTTAGGGCAATGTCGTGTGCTTTAGAAAATCCGACTGGGTATGGTCTGTGTAGTTTATACTTGAAGGCATTATGGAGTCGTAGTCCATAGTTTTTAAACTTGGTTGGCTTGTAAAGAAAAACTTGAAATTGGAAATCTTGCAGTAACTGTTGGCTCTAAGTCAGCAACACACTTGAGCTTGTGTATCCATTTTGGGAAAATCTTAATCAAGCACCCAGCTGACTTGGGGCCTATGCCTTCTTTTAGAAAGAGTTCATCTACTTGTAAATTTTAGTGTTTTCTGTAAATTAAGCAAAGACAATGTTTCCAAGTTTTAAACTCTGGACTAACAGAATATGTGCTTTCAAAGCAGGTAGTATATTTTTGCAATGCATGTCACACAGTATCAGACTTTATGTACAAACAGGAATCTCTCCTTCCCCTTGTATTTCTACAGACATTGCACTGTTTGAGAGATCCTAATAAAAACTGCCTCTACGGGTAATGAAATTGCATTTGGTTTTTGAGTGGGGGAAAGGAAGACCCTAGTCAGTTTTTGACTTGGGGGGAAAAAAGATCAGTAATCTTCTCCTTCATTTGCTTTCAGTTCCTTTGTAAATGTTGCTCAAGTTCTGCTACCTATCTACTGCTTTCTACTCTTTTCAGCATGTCCACCAGCTAATTAGGTGAATGAGAACTCTGATGATCAGATACCTTCAACTGGTATGTAAAAGAGTGAAACCAAATCAACCCAAAATACTGTTTGACTGGGCTGCTAGTATTGCTGATAATAATTTGGATGTTTCATGATCTCACATGGTCATTCAGCTTTTTTGAAAACCTGTTTGTGCTGCTTTGCTTGCTTTGATTTTGTTTTCTGTGGGACTGATTGAATCTGCTTCACTAATGAGCTTTTGTGGAGTAGGACTAATTTACTTGTAACTTGCACTAACACTTGCATGGCATGCAGGGGTGAGTAACTGCCAGTGTGTTTCATAGCAGTGTATCTGAGAGCAACTATTGGTGCACTCCAGAGTCTGAAGGAGATGCACTGTCCTTTCTGGGAACTGGTTAAGGCCCTTGGTGAGGTGTGAGTGTAATGACAAGGTATGCATGAACACTGATGGAATAACACTGCTCCTCGAAGGCCTCTCCTATGGTATTGACTACCTCACTTGCATATGAAGATATTGGGGGTGAGATGTTTGCCTTGGAGGATCAGGCCATAATTTTTTTTTCCCCATGTTGTTTAGCATGGAATGTAAATATTGTGTTGTCCCTGTATTTGTGTGTATACCCTAAGGAGCCCCTACCATTGCAGAGCAACCTCTGTGCTGTTACTGTTCCACAGTTTTTATCCTCCATGATTGTTATATTCAGATTATACAAGATATCAAGGATACAGTAGGTTACTCAGTATTCTGCCAAAGTTTCTGACAAAGTCCATCAGAGTGAAGCTTGTCCAGCTGAGTTTTGAGAGGGCACTTATTGCTAGGATCACTGTTCCCCCATGCCATGTGCTCAACCTCCCAGTCTTAGAGAAAAAGCCCTCAAATGTTAGAAGTTTGTACAGATAAGTATGGCTACAGCAGTGTGGATTTAAATTTTCATTTCAAAACATGTCTGTCCAGGCTACCCGTGCAGTGCAAGTAACAGCACAGAGCTGAATTGTTTAAAATTCAATTATACTTTATGCTGAAGATTTTTCTTATTTCCCTTTTGTCATTTGCTATCTCTGCAGAAATTCTGTTGATCCATGTTAATGCCTTTGCTTGAGCTATTGGTTGCTTATGCAAGCTGAAACCTTCTTCAAAGATGCTTTTGAAGATCATTGGTAGTAAAATTTTTGCAGGGATCATTTAGGCAACAATCTAGAAAAGCCACATTCCTGTCTTTATTTCAGGGCAGAACTTAGGTTCCCCACTTAATTTCTTACTTAGATTGTCAGTAATGGGAGAAAGCAGTTGGTTTAGTAGCATATCCCTGCTCATATGTAGTGTTTGGTTAAACACTAGAACTTTGTGTCACTTTTTAGTATGAACCTGAAACCACCTTGGTTTTGAGTAACTATTTCTGCTAGGATGTGCTTATATGTGGAATGTTAGTGTAGGTTCTCAAGCACTCCAGATTATGCTTGTAAGGTCATGGGAAAAAAAAAAAGTCAAATCAAAGGCACTCACACTTATTCTTTACTGTTGGAAACAAACAAAAATAGGACGAGAAAGTTATGGGATGCAGTGAGGCCAGAAATGAAATGTGAACCAGCAAAACTTTGCTTTTTTTAGAGTATGTTTTGAGCTCCACAACACTGAAGGTTGGACATTGAACTAAATCTCTGGGGTATTCCTTTGAAGGTCCATAGCATGTAGTAGGTTTGTATTATGGTAAGAAGCAATATGGATTTTATTCCTTTAGATTGGACTGCAGAAGCTGAACAGGGAAAAGTTTCTTGCTTGCCTTGCTCAGTAGACTTCCACCCAAGGTGAGTATCAAGCAGTAAACGTTGAAGTTACTTATAAATTCAGGGACTTCAGCAGTTGACAAGTGACAGAAGAAATGGCACAGAGGACTCTTCCAGTTTCTCAGCCGACTGCTTTTGTGTGTCCTGTTTCTAAATCTTCATGTTGTGAGGAGAGAAATTCTGTGGGCACTGTGAGTGGAGCTCTGACAACAGTTTAATTTTTCACAATAACTAATTTTAACCTGTTATAGTTAGTTAATAGATGTTTGCTCTGTATTGTCTCCTTCCTCCCCATCCTCCATGAAGTTAATTCTGCTCAGTTCACAGCACAGCAGGTAATCTCTGATGCAAGCAGTTCTTTCTGTTGCATAAAATAGTGAGCAAACTTGCTCTCATTTTGCTTCTAATTCCCTTGGGACATGTTGTGGCTTCATTATCTGGCATTATCCATTTGAAACAACTGAGTGAAAAAGACTTCAGAACAAAGCGTGTAACTGCTGGAGCCCATTGGTTTCCCTCTGGCTGTACTTGCTGCAGAAACCTCACAAAGATCTCTGATCCCAGTGGAGAAATCTTCCAGGCAGTAGGGTGGGTCACAATCCTTTACAAAGCCAAGTAGGTATGCTGAAGCCCTGGCTAGAGCTATGAAGTCAAAGTTTGTAGAAAGGCTCCTATGTTGTTGCAGTGTTTGTTGCACAGCCTTCCTTGCTGCGCTGAGTTGAGACCGTGTCAAAAGCTGAAGGAGACTGTTGGCAGCCCAAGCGCTGAAGGCTCAGGCAGGGCTGATATGATGTGTAGGTCCTGTCTTTCTAAGGACTGAGAGTGCCTTTGGCTTGCTGCAGTGCTTGTGGTCAGGATGTGTGGCATCAGAGCTGCTGCAAGGCAAGTCAGCCCCGTGCAGAGGAGCTCCCTGTGTCAACCAGGCCAGCTGTCAGGCCAGGCACTGGACTTCTTCCACCTGGAGGGGGGTAGCCCAGGGATAGGTAGCTAGCTAAATCTGTGCAGTGATGACATAGCATTGCAAATGGTATCTAGTTGATTTTCTGGTGAGTCGAAGCTTTAACAGTCCCACTGCCTCTTTTTCTCCTTTTGTCCAGTCCATTCTGCAGTCATTTTTTGTATTGTTATTGGCCATTTTTAGCTCAAGGTGGGTTTAACTTGTGCAGTTCCAATCTGAACTCTCTGTACAGTCAGAATTTGACAGTGCTGGGGTGATTCATCACCTCTTCAAATGGCGTCTGACACAGATGAAGCACATGGTATTGTACAATACAGCCTCCTCTTTGGTGTCTGTGAGGAGGCTGTGCACTAACTTTTTTGTGGGTGTCTAAATATGGTTGAGATTAATCCCTTGTATCAAAAAGCTGCAGTGTGAGCTTGGCCTTTTTAGACCTTTGAAAAATCCATGTGGAAAAGAACAAGGTGATGCTGTGTCTGTAAGAAGCCTTGATCGTAGTCTGTGTTCTGTTATAACAGGTCCAACCACAAGTCACACATACAAGGAAAAGAGACTTTGTTAGTTTGGTGGTTTGGAGAAGTCGTTATTTTGTTCCTGAACCCATTTGAGTCATTTAAAGCTGTGTAAGATCTGTAGTATGACACCTGAAAAACTGTAAGATCATGAGAAACTCTGCTGGATTGAGCCACTGGTCTTTAAGAGCCCTCCTAAGAGCTGTGAATGCTATTGCTGAAAGCAAAACCCTGAATCCACTACATGAGGGTTTTTCCTGAGCTTGATTATGCTAAACAGCCTGGAGCCTGCATCCAGGGTTCTGGGTTCGGTCCAGCTCTTTGTGGGTTTTCAGGGTTTTTTGTTTGCTCTTTTTTTGGACAAACTGCTGATTTTACGTGTTTTCCTGTTTCTCTTATGGTTGTGTTTTTTAAAACTTCAATGATAGTGAGGTCAGTATTGCTTGGAAAAATATTGTTCTGCTGCTTCCCCCTGTGAAATCTTTGTCTTGGGTTTGTAATACTGGAAGTGGTTGTTTGGAGGTTACAGTGGTGAAAAGAAAACAGTGATATCACATAGAGATAATAAACAGGAAAACTGACCTTTTACTTACCTTGTTTGAAAACTACCTATTTGGGTTTAGTCATGATTTTAAATTGACTAACTGAAGCCTTGAAATTTGAATAATCTACTTTAAGCTTCCTTTTGTGCTTGTGCTGCTTAATTGATTTCTTGTTTTGTGTTTGCAGAACTATTAAAAACATGTAGGTTTGCACTCAGTAAATATAAGTCTGGTATTAAAATTGTTAATTCTAACTAATTGGACAATATATCACCCACTTGTTCATACACTACATTGGAGTCTTTAATTTTGACATTTACTTGTCTGTCATTCATTTTATAATATGGTTTTCCACAGGATGATTAATTTCCTAGGTTAGATTTGTATTCAACTGCACTTGTTTGGAAATCAGAATATAATGTACAGTTAAAGGTAGCTTTATTGCAAAGCTAAGTTCTGATA